TTATCCTATGAAAGAACATTTAAAAAATTGCAGATATCTAATAGGCAGCGGTGATTTAGTGGCTGATTGAAATGAGCTTAACAATATAGATGTAGCCATGATGTGGAGGTGCTGGTGTTGGACTGGGGTGGACAAAGTCAGAGTCACACGACACCAAGTTATAGTCCAACAGGTTTATTTTAAATCACAAGCTTTCAGAGCGCTCCAAAAGCTTGTGATTTCAAACAAACCTGTTAGACCATAACCTAGTGTCATGTGACTTCTGACTCAACACAGACGTGGTAAATTGAATGATATCTACACGTACGTTTAAAGCCAGTAACATTATTTCTTTGAAAGATTGAATTTCCCTGGTTGTCTTTGACCTGGTACTTTGTGCTGTTCTTTTTGTCAAAATAATCTTTATTACTCACACTAAAATCAGAAAATATTATTTATGTAGTGATGAAATGAGATTTCAACAGCTGTATCAAGTAGCTTGTCAGCTCTAAAGATTCCTCAAGTTGTGATAGCACTTCTTTGAAAGCACAAATAAATCACTCTCGTTCATAATTTCATGACTCCGAAATAATTTCTGTTTCATTTTTATCCCATCATTTTTTCACAATCTTCTCACATTTAATATTCCTACACCATTGCCAAACCAAAAGGATGGAATGAGATTCTGCTTGTATATTTCTGATTTTCTTAATCAGTCATGCCTTTGGCTGCCTCAGCCCTATCCTCTAGAATTTCCTCCCTAAATCTTTCCACCTTTCTACCTTGGTCATTGTGATATAAAAGTTTAGACTGGTAATTTTCAATTCTGTCATCTCGTTTACTACCTGGGACTTTTCATGGACTAAAATCATTTGAAAAAGGGTCAAAAACACTCACATAGAATGATCCACAGGTTGACCATATTTCATGAAACCAACATGAACTAGACATGAACTAGGCAGCACGGTGGCTCAGTTCAGGGCGGCACAGTGGCTCAGTGGTTAGCACTGCTGCTTCACAGCACCAGGGGCCTGGGTTCTGTTCTCCCTTGGGTAACTGTCTGTGTGGAGTTTGCACATTCTCCCCGTGTCTGTGTGGGTTTCCTCCCACAGTACAAAGATGTGCACGTTAGGTGGATTGGTCATACTAAATTACCCAAAGTGTTCAGGGATGTGTCGGTTTGGGGAATGGGCCTGGGTGGGATGTTCTGAATGTCAGTGTGGACTTGTTGGGCCAAAGGGCCTTGCTTCCACACTGTAGGGATTCTATGGAAAGATTAAAAACCGAAAGAACTGTGGATGCTGCAAGTCAGGTAAAAAAAAACAAAAATTGCTGGAAAAGCTCAGCAGGTCTGGCAGCATCTGTGGAGAGAAATCAGAGTTAATGTTTCAGGACAAGTGACCCTTCCCCATTTCTGTTTTTGTTTATGAACTAGACAAGAGTCAGCCTGAGGTGAAATTAACAATTTTCCCTATGACAATGAAACCAGTCAAACCCTCCATGAGAAGAGTGAAAAGGTCCTAATCACCTATCTGATTACACCTTTATAAGTCTTCACATGTTGCACATGAAAGGGAGACTATAGATAGAATACACAAACAGGTTGTAACTCAAGGACTTTTTTTGGAGATGGATTTTGACTGCCAAATTGAAACATAATGAACAAAACTCTCTCTCACTATGCCTCTCAAGGAGAAAAGTCAGTGACAAGATTGAGTGGAAAGAGATAGCTTTTGATTTCTCGAGTCCCTGATAAGAGCAATACGATGTGCTGCTGACTGTCTGAAAAATCAACTGCAGTGTCAGTTTAAATCATTATTCCTTAAGGACAGCCAAAGGTCTGTATGGGGGTGTACGTATACTTGTAGGCTGCATACTTGACATTGCATCTTTATTATTTTACCTCACCATTTGCATGTAATAAATTCAATTCATTCAATAAAACTTGCAATTGGCTCCTTACTGCTACATTAAAAAAAACTTAACTGAGAAAAGATATAACCATAAACCTCAGTTGCAACCCATTAGTACAGGTTGAAAGAAGGCGTGCTGATTCACCCATCCTCACCTGGGCACTTCTTTCGAAAGCGCTTCACAAACTGAAGGTGACAAACCTTTGGGGGTTTAGGAATAGAGGACAGGGTCACAAGGTCACTAAGATTGCACCCCATGCTGGCACTGAGGCCCAGGCAGCAAAATCTGATACACGGAGTGTAAATGTGATATTTAGGCATTAATCTGGCCTGTCCCTTTCAGGTCTTTAATCGAATACTTTCCAGGTACATGTAGCTGCTTGTAAGTTAGCAAAGATGAAATAACTGGCTTTCCTTCTCCCTCTTATGTTACTTTTGTGTCTGTAACAAACTGCAGTGTCTGAAGTAATATGAATGCGCATTAGGTATAGGATTTTTAAATATATCCAACAGCTCACCCATGGTTCTTACACAAGGACGGTGACATGAAATGTTAACTCTGTCTTCTTCTTGCGGATGCTGCCTGACCAGCTGTATTTTGTTTTCATTTCAGATCTTCTCAGGTATTACTCACAGTGAATAAGAGACTATTGGGTAATAACAATTCGAGGGTCTTACTGCATGCAATGTCCAATGAATTGTAGGGTCAAAGGGAAAAATTTGGTAAAATGTGCATATGAGATGTTCTTCAACACACTACAACTTTTTGTTTGACTTTTGATAACTAAATAACACATTCTTCAAAATGATAGCGGGTTACAGATCATTCTGACATGCATGTTATAGTGTGGAGCTGTGGTAGTTGTTCCAACTTTTTTCTATCATATGGCTGGCCAGGAATCTCTTCCATTCTTAACGCCTGGCTTTCAGTGTTGTGTGGAATTGAAGACTGATAATCAACCTGTTTTTTCATGTTACAGATGTCAATTTTTTGTCCTATTGCGCAGGCCTCTGAGGTACATGTGCGGCAGCAGATTCCAGAAATGAAAGCCAATATGCTGATATGTCAATCAACTTAGAGGGAACATTGGTCATGAATATACTTGTCTTGACCATCAAGTCCGGGTTGGGACTCGGAACTAAAGTTCCTGACTCAGAGGCAGGCACATAGCTACATAAGCTCCCTACATTAAAAGTAATTAGACATTATTCGAGAAACGTCTCACAAACAGCATGTCGGAAAACTTCAGGTCGACAATATAAATGGAAATGGATAAGCATACTTTTCAGCCAACTTTCTATCCATAGAGTTTGTCAGCTGTCATTTTACACCTGAGAACAGGTGATGTGCAGTTGAAAATCTCAGGAAAATTAATATCAATTTTTTTTAAAAATTATACAATGAAAAGAAAGTGAAGAGTGTGGTTGAACAGACATATCTCAGAATTCAGATACATATTCCCTAGAAACCAAAAGCTTAAGCCATTTTAAAAAAAGGCCAATAACAGTCTTGACTTTATAAATGGGCCACAGAGTACACAAAATGAAAATATGATTGATGTACCCTCAGGTTAAGATATACTATGTGGAATTTCTTCCCACAGATGCTGCCAGAACTGGATTTCACCAGAAATTTCTGTCTGTTTCAGATCCCCAGCATCCCGCAGATCTTTGCTTCATTTATATTAATATGGAATGAAGAACACCTCAGTATCGAAAGGACATTATAGCCATAGGAAATGCACAGTGTAATTTCACTCGGATTGTGTCAAGGATGGGAAACTATGATTGTTGAGGAAACACTTGAAACGTAAGCCTCAATTTTGAAATTCTCATCCTTATTTCCAAATCCCTCCCTGGCCATACCACTCCTTTTCGCAGTCCTACTCCCATCCATGATATCTCTACACAGTTTCAACTTTGGCCTCACTAGCATCCCCAACTTAAGGCCCTGGATAATCCCAGCTCCAATAAAACTCAAGAAGCTCAACACCATCCAGGTCAAAGCAGTCAGCTTGATCAGTACTCCAACCACTATCTTAAACATTCATTCCATCCACCAGCAGTGCAGCAGCAGTGTGTACCATCTACAGGCTGTACTGCAGTAACTCATTAAGGCCCCACTCTGGTGGCTGTGCCTTCAGCAGCTTAAGCCCGAATCTCTGGAATTCCCTCTTTAAACCTTCTTCCCTTTGTGAATTTCTCTCCTTTTATGGACTTCCTTCAAAACCTACCTGGCTTATGGTCATCTGTCCTGTTACCTCCTTATGTGGCTTGGAGTCAAATTTTATTTATTTAAAGCCCCTTGGAATTTTTTGTTTAGATTGTGGTAAAACCAATACATAAATATAAGCCGTTGTTGCACCTACTGGGTCCAGAAATTTGTTATTCACGCTAGAACAGAGATGGAGATTTGATGAAGAATTTCAATAGATTGCACTGGGAGAAAATATTTGCTCAGATTAGTTGATCTGTATCTGTGCAAAATTTATTAAATGGTCCCAACTTTATTAGTCCAGCTGTCCTTAGAGGCCTGCAAAAGTCATGACTTTTGATTTTTTAAATCGTTTTCAGGTATTAAAGATATAGCCCAGAAACTTGTATTAGATAGTGTACCCATCGGGAAAGCAGTAGACAAAAAGCACACGCAGAATATTTATGTTCTAGGTGGATGTAAACCAGTGCACACAATTGTAACCTAATAACAACATTTAACAGCACAGACAATTTCTCAACATAAACTCGGCTGTTATGTGGTGGATCCCAGAGTAATAGGGAACAAATATAATGTTCCTTCAGATCCAATCTCATAAAAGTCTTCATCACATATCATCTGAAAATGACAACAGAGCTAAAAATATTATGCCACGGGGTGGGAAGGTAGTTTTACAACTCTCAAAAAGTATGATCTAATGAATTCATGAATTGAATTCAAAAATTCAGTCTCCAATTTCAGTCTGTGGGACATTAAGCATTCCAGCTGTGTATCTGAGGTCAGGTAGAGTTTTGAGTGAGTTAAACAGCCTTGCTATTTATGGGCATCTTTTAGGTTCCAGATACTACAGTGTGATAGGCCATATAAACTGTGGCAATGCCTTTGAATCTGACCTCTGTCTCTTTCTGACGTGCCTTCTGCTGGAACTGAAGAATTTCCTTTTCAATTTGTTGGATCCGGTTCATTCGCATCTGTCAGAAAGAAAAAAGCAGAAAGCAAAGAGCTTGTTTCTTCAGTACGCCAAAGGTCGTGGACCAGAGAGTTAGTCGTTATTAGCTACAGTTAGAATTGGCATATCAGCTGCAAATAAATGTAATAGTCAAAGCTCAGACTCATTATGTATTGCTATCCTGTGACCCCTGCTTCTGAACATTCAACCGCATTGGGAAATGTTGGCTACAAAGTAACATTATGGATAACCGTGAAGCCGCATAAATACTGTGGTTACAAGAAGAGGTCAGAGATTGGAAATTCTATGTTATGCAATTCACCTCCTGGCTCCCCAAACCCTATCTACCATCTACAAGGCTCAAGTTAAGAGTGTAATGGAATACTTCCCACTTGCCTGGACAATCACAGCTCCAATAAAACTCAAGATGCCCAACACCATTCAGGTCAAAGCAGTCAGCTTGATCAATACTCCAACCGCGACCTTAAACATTCACTGTCTCCACCAGCAGTGTGTATCATCTACTACAGAAAACACTGCAGTAACTCATCAAGGCTCCACTGACCTCCCAGAAGGACAAGGACAGCATTTGTGATCACATCTACACCTTCAAGCTCCTCTCCGAGTTGCACACCATCCTGAATTAAAACTCCATTGCTATTCCTTCACTTTTGTTCAGTCGTAAACCTGCAACTCTTAACAGAACTGTGGGCATGCACCTACACACATGGGCTGCAGTGGTTCAAGTAGCCAGTTCACCATCTTCTCAAGGGCAATTCGGGATGAGCAACATTCAAATCCCAGGAATGAATTTAAAAATACAGCGTGGGTAGGAAGCCTTTCGTGCCATCACTATTCCCAGACTGAATGTATAACTAACACCTGTCACTTCCTTACCACTCCAATAATTCACTGTTTAAGTTACTGGGTTAATTTTCTTTGTGGAGCTGGAGGAACACAGCAGGTCAGGCAGCATCAGAGGAGCAGGAAAACTGACGTTTCTTTTCTGAAGAAGGGTCAACCACATTACTGTGGGTCTGGAGTCACATGTAGGCCAGACCAGGTAAGGACAGCAGTTTCCTTTCTTAAAGGATATTAGTGAACCAGATGAGTTTTTCCGACAATTCACAATGGTTTCATGGTCACTGTTAGACTCCTAATTCCAGACTTTTTTTATTGAATTCAAATTCCATCATCTGCTGTGCTGGGATTCAAACACGGATCCCCAGAATATTACCTTGGTCTCTGGATTTACAGACAAATGACATTTCTGTGAAATATACCATCTTCTACAAATTCTGCCTCACCTCTAATGAACAGACCAATGTAGTGACATCAAAAGGAGTCCCCATGACCGTTCCCTCATACAGATTCCTCTCTGCATTGTCCTCTACAGCCAACAAATTTTTAATACCTCTTGGCTAATTTTCCTCAGTCCTCCAAGAACGGGGTAAAAGAAACATTGGTGCCTGCTGGACAGAACCCCAATGTGAGGTAATTCAGAAGCAGCCCCACACCAGCCTCACAGCACAACACCAATGAGTGGCATTTAGGATTTTCCCCATTCCGCATGGAATTATCCACACGAACTACAGTGGTATCAAAAACACAAAATATCCCAGAGGTCACTCTTATTCTGGAGCAGGTTTCACGAAAGACAGGATAAGTGGATAATGCACCTACCAACAGGACTAGCGTGTCTTTACATTTGGATTTCCATGAAATGCAGCTGATCGTGGACTGGAATATGACTATGTATAATCTTCATGTAAATACTGACTTTGGGTAGATGGAGAGTATTTCAGAAGAGTCAGGTGCTAGGGTAGAGGAGACATCCTGGGAGAGGGCTCAGAGCTGGGAAGGCTATGATTTTACTTGTTAGATTTGTTGACTTAGTTGAAAAGTGTCTTTATCTTTCCAAACAGATACAAAATGAGTTCAGGATTTTTAATTGGACAATTGAAGTTCCTTTCAACAATGTAAATTAATTATACAAGTTTTGGGTTGCAATGTTTGCAGTTTTAATTATTAACTGAGGCTGAAGAGTCAATTACCATATTCTTGAGCCGGATGAAAGCTGACTGTTTACTGAAGGCAGACTCTTCCTGTGAGAGACAGCTGCTGTGCGATCTTATAGACCCTCAGCAACTAATGGCCAGAAGAAAACAACCAGTAAGACTAGCAACTGAAACATACTGGTCTGGCTTGTCTTGTATACTTCAGATTGGAGCTCCAATATGACCAGTATGTTCATTTTCAAGTATTACTGTTCATTTTACTGTTTATTTTTTCCCTCTGAGCATCCATCCATTTCACAGAGGTGTAACAGCACAGAAGGTGGCCATTTGGCCCATCGTGTCTGCACTGTTTAAACTAGCAGATGAAATATGATACATTAATGGCCCATGATTTCCCAGCTGACCAATCCCATGAGCACTACTCACCACCAGGAGTATAGATTTGAGATCTTATTTAGTTTTCTGTTAGTAGACACAGAACTTCCAACCGTGAGTTAGCAACAGTTTAAGATGAGAGATGTTCAAATGAAACTTTGCTACAAAAGGGTAAAAGAATTTCTATGAAATGAACTACTACTTGGCACTTGGTGAAAAACCTCTTTACAGTTTTAATATAATTCTGTTGTGATTCTATTGTTTATCTGCAGTTCAGCTTCATTTTGATCTTAGCAATGGCCTGAATCTCTGGCAATGCACATTTGCTCGGTAAAGTTCACTAAGATTTTACATAGAGTGAACCTCCATCTGTCTGCTATGCTCACAATCTCAATTGGTGCTGTGGTTCCTTTAGATATCTTAGTTTTGCTAGTTAGACGTTGACTTTATCAAACTCAGGCAAGATCCTTTAATGAACTACAAGAAGCTCAGCAGGCCTGGCAGTATCTGTGAACAAAAAGCAGAGTTAACATTTTGGGTCCAGGGACTCTTCTTCAGAACTGAAGGTCCTGAGCAACAGTCACTGGACCTGAAATGTTAACTCTGCTTTCTCTCCACAGATGCTGCCAGATCTGCCGAGTTTCTCTAGCAAATTCTGCTTTTATTTGTTTCAGATCACCAGCATCCACAGTTCTTTAATTTCTCGAATGTTCAATCATACTTTTCATTTGAGCATTGTCAAATGGTTCATTCTTTTCAGAGTCATAAATCACCTACAGGCAATAAAGGAGGCAAAATCCAAGGGCTGAGTGTGTGATGGAAGAATGGGATGGGTAGGAACATGAGCTCACTTGGAAAACTGCATTCCCAGAGGGTGTCCCTAGATCCCAATTTCTCCAGAAGTTTCAGAAGGCAAGTGAGGGCAGGGGGAGCTGGGGGAAATAGCTCATCTCCAATTAACGTCCCGTTAAACTCCTTAAAGTGCATGCCAGGTGGGCCAAGAGGTGATTCTCCTGTTTGAAGCTGCAAAGTCCAACAGCCCAGTGCATATGAGTGCACAGCTGCCAGGTTCAATGTGGGAAGCTGCAAAAGGTTCTTTTTTTGGAAATAGAAATGTTTCAATATCCAGAGTTTCACTGCAAGATTGGTTGCAATACTGTTTGCCAGGTAGGTTAGCTAATTCTCTGAGTACAGAGGCTCCTGGCCCTCTGAATTCCTGCCTTTGCTCATGCCCCCACTATAATGGAAATCTGAGTCCGGGTCTCAAAAATATCAACAACTTATACACAATATCTTCTGCTCTTCTCTAGTCCCCCAGTCTATTGATACCAGTCGGCAGAATGTGCTCTATAGTGATAAAAATGCATCGTTTCATCATTTGTAGATAGCCTGGTCACGCATCATACTGGGACAACTGAGCTCAATAATCCAGTGTCTCAGTTCCATTTTAACCAATGGCTGGGAGGATAGTGGAGTTCATGTAAGGGCTATGTTACTGTCAGTAAGTTTTCATTATCAGCTACAAATCCTTTCTAAGATGTATTAGTCATAACCTTTCTGAGCTCTAAAGATGCAGGTACTTATTGATTTTCTTTCACGGAATATAAGTATTGCTGGCCAGGGGAGCCACCAGAAACTGCCCTTGTGAAGGTGAACAGCTGCAGTTCACAATGTGCAGGTAAACCCACAGTGCCATAAGGAAGGGAGTTCCAGCAAGTTAAAGTATATAGTTCCAAGTGCGGCTCAGAGGGGAATTTGAAAGTGTTGGTGTTCTCATGCGTTCGCTGCCCTTGTCCTTTTCGGTGTTAGAATGCCATGGGTTTGGGAGGTGCTGTTGAACGAGTCCTCAAGAGTTGCTGCCGTGCATCTTGTGGATGATACACACTGCTGTGTGTTGGTGGTGGAGACAGTGAATGTTAAAGGCGGTGGAAGTGGTGCTGGTGAAGAGGCCTGCTTCGTCCTGGACGGTGATCAGCTTCTTCAGTGTTACAGTTGCACTCATCCAACCATTTAGATAAAAAATTTGGATGAGAATATTAGAGGGTTGGTTAGTAAGTTTGTAGATGACACCAGTATTGGTGATCTAGTGAAGACGGTTATCTAAGGATACGCTGAGATCTTCATCAACTGAGCCAGTACATTTGCCACATTTAAAAGACATTTGGACAGGTACATGGATAGGAAAGGTTTAGCGGCATATGGACTAAATAAAGGCAAATGGGACTAGTTTAGTTGAGGGAAACTGGTCGGCATGGACAAGTTGGGCCGAAGGACTGTTTCCGTGCTGTATGACTCTACAAAAGGAGTGGGAGATGGAGTTTAATTCAGATAAATTGCAAGGTGTTGCATTTTGGTAAGACAAACCCGGACAGGACTTACATAATTAATGTTAGGACACTGGGGAGTGTTGTTGAAAAGAGAGACTTATGGGTACAGGTACATAGTTCCTTGAAAGTGACATCACAGGTAGACAGGGTGGTGAAGAAGGCATTTGGCATGCTGGCCTTCATCGGATACAGCGCTGAGTGCAGGATTTGGGACGTAATGTTCCGGCTGCACATTACTTTGGTAAGGCCACATTTGGAGTACAGTGTACAATTTTGGTCACCCTAATATAGGAAGGAAATTA